TTAGCTGTATCTGTCGGTATTGTAATTGAAGTCAAAACCGTTCAGGGGATATAAATAACTCAATTTCGTCTGTGGTTTAGGTGTAGAAGATAAAAATGCGATGGCTGTGTGGTTCATAAACCGTATTTTCTAGTGTGGGCTAACTGATTTGACATTGACTATCAGTAATCCAGTGTACAATTTGATAGTGCAATTCCCCATCAGTTGAAATTCAGATTCTATAAATACTTAGCAACAATTGCAAGGTGGGTAACATGTTCTTTGGGTTTTGTACGGTAACAATGCTAATTCTTTTTTGTGTAGCCTGCTCTAACTTTTCCCCAAATTTTCGTTGGTCTAAACGCACACTGCCATAGACAAAACAACATCTGGCAGTGTCGTGTTGCTTGTTGGACATTTTGAGTATCGGGATAGGTGAAATAATTGACGGTTTGCCTTTTATATTATTTTTATGGTTGGTTCAGAATGTGAGTTTTGAAATCAAATTTATTGATTATTATTGTTCTAGCTTGAAATTGTTAGTAGAATAATCAAAAGTTACCCAATGGGGCAATGTCACTTAAAGTGGTTAACACGCGGTTTAGGAGTTATATATATAACTAAATACGACTTGTTTTGTAATACTATAGGGTTTATTTTAGTGCTATGAAAGGTGCTCTGTTTAATATATTGAAGTGGTTAAACAAATAGGTGACAGCGAGAAATGGGCTAAGTAGTAGACTCAACCTTCTTAGAGTAACTCACAGACAGTTCCTGTCAGCATCAATTGCTGAAAGTAGGGTACTATCGTCCAGTCATCTCGTGCACATATTAGTCCAATTAAATAGAATAACGTTGACGTAAAACGGCGTCCATATGAAACACTTACCCAAAAATGGTAATTGCCCCGCCCTAATAGCTGGCGTATCTATACTCTGTATATAAGAAAGACCGAGGTTAAATTTCCCTTCAGACATCATTCAGAGTTCCTAGGGGAACATCATACCCACAGCCTCCACGGCTTAGAGTTAGAGGCTAGGATGAAGACATCATTTAGAGATCCTAGGAGAGATATCGTTCTGAGTTCCTAGGGAAACATCATACCCACAACCTCCTTGGCTTAGAGGCCGGAATGACCCTCGTCACAGAACACGCCCTAAGGGATAGAGAACTTAGATTTAGCTTATATTTAATGCCATAGCTGTGTGTGAGTTTTCTGTATGTAACCTTTGCATTATGGATGTTATAAAGATATAAAAACATAGCTAACCAACAAAGTGTTCTAAAGTCAATTGATCCTTGATCTTTTATACACAACGTGGAGGCCAAAGTTAGTTCCTAATTGACTATAATGTCACAGTCTCACTCTGCAGCGCCAAGTCTAGAAAATATAATCAAACTGATCAGTATATTATATGATACTTCTACGTGATGTACATAAAGTTTATCTAATTTTCTACATTATGAAATCGTGTTTCCACACATTTGTGGTATCTGTAACATCAGTTACTTGAACATTTAACCAATTAAATGTAGTTAAGAATTAACGCAAAGTGGAATATTGATATTTACGAAAAGGTTATATAGTCCGACGCTGAAAATATCTATTCACACTACCCGAGTTTCATTTTCATAGGATGATTCAAGGTACTATATTGGCTTGTTAATATATTCACCAGAACATCTTTTACACTGCCACGAGCTGATCAATATAATTGGTTGAAACCATAGTCTTCTATGTACTGTTTTATGACACATGGATTAAGGTTGATATACATATGGTGGTCGTCATACCTCCCAATAGAACGTTTGGAAAATCAAAATCTTTTATTACATTTTTAAAAAAAAGCTAAGATGCTTTAAATATCTTGTCATTACAAAACGACCCAATGTTTGAGTTTAAAATACCTGTGGTGGCCACAATACCACCCCACCCCAAGCAACGGTGTGACAATCAGTCTTTCATTATCGGCCAAAGCTAGGCTGCTTCAACACGGAACAGACCTATCGCAATAGCTCCACAGCGAGCTAAAATACGGTCAAAGGAATTCATTCGAACTAGCTATTTAATGTGTATCCCTAATTGTAGACATCACCATTACGAACATATATGTTCAATACATTTTCGATAATGCTCCCAGGTAATTTCAACTTGATAAATTAATTAGTCCAGCTGTCATTTCTAATTAACGTTTAGGTCTCTTTATCGTAAATTGTTCTGGCTACATTCGTTCCTGCCCAGTATTCACAAATGTCAAAAGACTACTATAAAATGACTAGCCCTCTTTGAATTGGATTTTATGTCTTGATTTGTTTGACAGAATGCTAATCTGTCCTTGTTAAAATTTTACGTTTGCAGATAAAGGCAATGTTGAGATATAACCAGTTGTGTGTTCGTCTATCGACACAAGTAGCCCAAACTTTAACTAAAGGTAGTAAACAAGTCTGTTTGTTTCCGTTTATTCTGTCGAAATAATTTTAAATTTTATTTGGAACAATTAAAATCGTTTATAACCTTTACCATCAGTGACCAAAATAAAACAACAGATGCCAACTTTGTTTTGAACTATATCAAACAGATTTAGCACCTTTAACATAGTAGGCCATTAGATCAGCCACCGCAGTCAATCAAATTACTTTGGTTCTTATCTTGCACAAGTGGGTATACTACTGTATGGTATTGATAGTCTATTCTTTGTTGTTCCGATGCAGTGATAAATAAAAGTTTACCAGTTTAATAATGGCTAATGTAAGCATGACGAACCGCGATTATCAAATGGCATTCAGAACTAGTATATTATAGACAACTGTAATCAGTATAGCTATTGCGCTGGTGTTGTATTTATGAAGTGAAGTATATTAAGTTTGATGTGTAAAGCGTGATAACTAAGGAAAAAAACCAATTTGTAATATATGGTCTAACAGCACTTATTTCGAAGATATTGTGCGATTTAAAGGTATTGAGGTAGGTTATGGCATATTATGTAAGGTGGATATAAGGTTGCATCTGTTAAGTTTTTAGTTTTATCATTTGGAAAGTGTACTGGTACAATCATGTTTAAAGAAATTCTAAAGTGTAACTTATTTATAGCACCTTCTGACATATCTGTGTACACATTGGACTGTATTTGAGAGTAAAAGACCGATAGACTTGTGGTGCTCATATATTAAACTGAAGTTATATTTAGATGTATTTATGAAAGCTGTAGTTAAATGTTTGCGTTTTAGGAAATGATGATTATTTAGGTAACTATACAATCTAACTATATACTACACCCTGGTAAATCAAGTTAGATGTACTGAAGTCCCAAAGAAACTATACCAAGAAATTAATATTTAAATTTATCTTTTAAATACAATCAATATATGCAGTGACTTTAAACATGTTTTATTTTGTATGTCTATAAATATATTACCATCTTGCATCAACTTTGGTACATCCCAAATTCTTGATGTGAACGGTTTCGTTCGGACGCCAGCATAGATCGCTGTTAGCTGGATATCTTAGGTCGATGGCAAAGGTTTAATGGTTAATTATTTTATGGTAATGTGTTTATCTGTTTGTCGGTGATTTGTGTTTAAGCAATTTGTAACAATATTGAACATTAAGTGGACAAATACTGATTGAATACATAAGTATGTATTTATATTCCGTAACAAGTTGATTGACTAACTTAATGGTACAGTATTGAGTTTTCTATATTAACACAGACAATTCAGGCAAATATGTTTGCTTGTTGGGATAAAATATTTTTTAGCGAAAACGGTTGTATCTTCGTTCTGGTAAGTAAACATAGTAATGGGATATATTGGTGCCAAATTTGGATAATTAAGCATATAGTCATTTAAAAACAAAACCATTATCAATTCAAACGGTGTACTCCATTTTACAAGTTTATAGTGCTAAAAATTTCGAAAACTGTAGCGCTAGAAATATCGAAAACTGTAGCCCTAGAAATATCGAAAACTGCTGGTTTCGTATCTGATTGGTATACGTTACTAACAGCAACGTTAATTTAGACGGTTTACTCCATTTTGTAGGTCTGTACTGCTAGTTTCGTATCTGCTAGCTAGGCGCACGTTACTAACAGCTGTTAATTATCTTTGACATTTGTATTTCGTAATATTCTGAGTGTTTTGACGCGTGTCTGCGTTTTATTAACTTTCGTGCATTTTCTTTTCTTAATCTAGAGTAACAGATTAATGTTTTAGAGAAACACGTGGTAGAGAATAATATCTCTTTTAGTTGCCAGTTTAACAATACCAGGATTGAACCCTAATTCGAATTAATTTGCAAGACCCATGATTTTTCACTACCCGCGTTTCTGGCATTTTTTGTATTAATCTAAATTAAAGGATTTCGTTTAGTTAGCATTGGAACAATACCAGGATACATGTAGAAGGAATAACCGGAAGTTCGCACGATTTACAGACTATTTAGTTATAATGCCCTTTCGCCATAAGTGTTCTTGAAGCAATTGGTACTGATAGATTATTATTCTTTTTTTTTCAGTTCAGCGATTTATTTAGAAGGAAGTCTTTTCACAGTTATAACAAAAATATATTTATAACGTTTTCCAAATTTTGACGCTATCAGTGTAATTTTATATTATTCCATATTGTTTGCTTAAAAATATGTTTCGTTTATTCTAAAACAAGATACCATAAGGAAGGATATTTATCTAAAAAGATATCTGATAATATATGCCGGAAATTACATAATCATTTTACTAGCACCACCCAGATTAGCAATGCGCATGGTACAAGACACAATACGTAGTTAATCAGTTGATGACATGTGACTGCATTAAATATCACCAAAGACTATTTTGTGACAAAGAAACAAACGAAGATCACGAGAAGATGAGAATAATAGAAATTTTGACCAATGTAAACTTTTGAAATAAAAGAACAAACTAGTATTGGAAGTTTTAGAGAACTGTGTAGTATTTGCTTATAATAATTCTTGCGATAATTTGAACTTTTATTTCAGAAGCCGGTGCTCCTTGATAGATATCTATCTCGCATTCAAGCCAATAGATTGGGGAAAATTGCAATTATACACGTGTGGGAATTCCTTTGTTTTGTGATAGATAATGCATGATACATGTTGAACTGAAAATCATTAACCTTATTGATTAACAAGCAATTATTAATAATAAAACGTGAAGGTGGTTTGTCATGGAATCCTATCCATTAAGTGATTTATCCCATTCTACCTGTAGATGTGAAGCTAACGGTATGAAGACGGATACTGATTTTAATACTAATGACCCCTTCGGAGACCCAATACCAACTAAAAATAAATCAACTTGGAAGAGTGCTTGGATTGAATTTACACAAACAACGACCTTTCATGGATTACGCTATATCTGGCTGGATCATTCATTTCCAATAAGAAGGTAAATATGATTTTATTTCATTATCATGTACACCAAACAACAAAAGAAATGTCTTCTAAATTATAAACTCCATTCTGTGAAAATATTAATTAAACTTAAAGAACTCCAACAGAACAGATTTAATGCAGAATCTTTAATGATGTTTATGCTGAAGGGTGTAAAAGGTCGACTGCATTTTTATAACGATGACAAGGCTTTCACTGCATCATCAGGATCAGTCAGTCCTATGAGCACGCTAGTCAGGGCACGTTGTCCGTTGATAATGACCGAAACATTAAAGACATCATTGCTCATCACCATCTTATTACAGTTTTTTTTCATTAAGATGGGATTGGCCGTGGTCGTCTTTAAATACTAGTCCTCGAATGACCGACATAAACATTCACCCACAGCACACTAATCCAAATCGCTCAGAATATCTTTGAGGAATATCCTTGCAATATATAGCTATATATGTACGCGCTACAGAGAATGTCCATTAGTCCAGGTTTTAGATTTTAGCTTACAAACAATATACCTGTATTATATCTGTATTAAGTGAACGATCACTTAGTAGGGCTTTTCTTTTGTCGTTCGGTATATTTAATAGTTGTTTATTGTACAGATACATTAGTTAAGAGTTTCATAAAGAGTTTGTCATTCTTGCTATAATAATTCAAAATAGATGATAAAAAAAGAAAATATTGAAAATTTCTTTCAAATTACTTCATTCTCAGCCAAGATGTGTGCACAGCGGTAACCAGGGCACTGGTATAATCGGGTCTTAGCCTCGCTTTCCCTAATTTAAATTAAATTTTTAAATGGCGAACCATTTTAATGTAGTTAAAATCTCGAGTATCCGATGCCATCGAGAGTCGATTATGGTCTTGTTTTGTTAATAAATGTCTAATTAATAGTTACTTCAGGCTTAAATAAAGACCTACAATAGGCAGATTTAGCTCTTGCATAATGTATGTTTAACATGCTATTCAATAAAAAAACGAAAGGTGTTTTCCCTCTAGAACAAGGGCCGAGGAAAGGGCGTGTTCTATGTTATGTTTTATAAAGAGATTCATGCAACATAAATTGTTGTGTTAATTTCTGGATTAACGTTAAAGCTACAATTTCATATTTTTAAGTTATATTTTTAAAATGTATTAAAATAAAGCCTTAAAATAGATGGTATCTATAAACAGTCCTACCTTGTTAAAGAATAATCCTATTAATCCTATAATTCACTATTGTCAGTTGAGAAATTGGCAAAAATATCATTTTCAACTTCAAATTCAAACGTTTGATGATAGCTATTCCAGGGGGGGGGGGATAGAAAACAAGGGAGGTAATTGTGTTATTATTTTCGGCGTCAATGATTTTTAAGTGTGGGAAATAATGCCTATGATCGTATAATAGTGAGTTGACAACCAATTGAGCAAAAGAAAGACAAAGAAATAATTATGTTTTGACTTTCTTAGAAAATATGAAATTCTCGCTTTAAATTATCACACAGCTGTTTACGGGGTATTTTGTTTCCAATGATTTCTTGCGATTGCGTCTTCACATAACTTCATGATGCTAGTAGCTTCACACAACTTCATTATGCACGTAGCTTCACATAACTTCACTTACCTTCACATGTACCTGCGCCGGGATTCTACCTTATGACCATTCTCTTTAAAGCCAATATTCATTATTCATTAATTATTAAATATAAATAAAAAAATACCGTATTCAAGTGTCAGAACTTCACAATAATCGGCCATTAATTATTAATGATACGCTTTCTCCATATATCATCAGCTTTTAATTGCGAATGCTACAGGTGATCATAGTTATACATATATATTAATACTTATGTATTTATTATTATATACACTATTATAGTTGTACTAAAAGCATGGTAGATTACATCCACCTTGACATTTTATTATTGACGCTTGTATCTTATGGGACTTGTCAAAGTCATAAACGTTTCATTAAATGGTATTATTGTGAAAGTGGGTAGGACGCTGGCTCGCTAGCCTGGAGGTCGGGTGTTCGATCCCTGCATTGGCCGAGAAAGTTCATCCAGATTTTCCAGCGTGGTTTCCCCTTTTCAGTGATTCGGGACGGAGGGCCTGACAAGGACAGCTGCCTAGTCGTTCGGATGGGACGAAAAACCGAGGTACACATTGGCGTGCACGTAAAAGATCCCTTGGCAGTTGGAATTCGATATAAGAGTAGGCCGTAGCGCCACTGCCCGGGCAAAATTTCCCTCATAGCACACTGTATGGCGTGCGCTTAAGGTCACAAAGTCTGCCATAATCACACACATGTACGTTATATGTCCAACCCGGTTGGGTTTCTCCTGGTCCCCAGGTTTCATTCCAATGATAAAGACTCATACGCACAAGCAAGTTATTATGAAATAGGATTTCGAAATGAAATGAAATGGGGTATAACGTTCGACTGTTCTGCTCCGAACGGGGCTAATGGAGACGGGCATACGCCATACAGTGTGCTATGAGGGGAATTTTGCCCGGACAGCGGCAATACGGCCTACTCTTACATCGAATTCCAACTATCAAGGGATCTTTTACGTGCACGCCAATGTGTACACGAGATCTCATCCGGACGAGTAGACAGCTGTCCTTGTCAGGCCCTCCAACACTGACAAGGGAGAACCACGCCGGAAAATCTGGATGAACTTTCTTGGCCAATGCAGGGATCGAACACCCGACCTCCAGGCTAGCGAGCCCGTCTTACCCACTTAGCCACCTTGAACCCCGAAATAGGATTTCATGGAAATGTGCTCTATATTGTCATCACCCTCTGAGGACTACAGGCATCATCCGAGTTCCGATAATTACTGCAGTGTGGCTAATTCGGCTAAAATTAACCGATTGAAATTCATTAGATTATTATGTTGTTTATTATTGTTGAATGACAATCTGTCTATGTTCATCCGGTTGTACGTGACAAGGAGTAGGGTCGCCTGTCCAACCTCGTGGGTTTTCTCCGGGTCCTCCGGTTTCCTCTCACTGCTAAAGACCCCTACGCGCAAGCGAATTATTAAAATAAAATTAAACCATATGTTAGTCCCAAAATGACCTAGTTTGTGTCGAGTGGACGTTAAACCCCATTTCTCTCCCTCTCTGTCTATGTTGATAATGTTACGTCTTTAGATAAATCAAGTGAACATTTTGTATAGCCAGATAACTTCCTAAAATTAGTAAACAAAGCGACTTCGCGTAATCTTTAGAGCACATATATATTTAATCGATGATATATAGAGAGGTATAGCCCCTTTAAGTCCAGAATTCATATACATCTAGCTTTGCATTTTATATATTCAATTCCGAAATCTAAACACGAACAATGATAAAATAGCTTATCAGCTAATGATTTAGTATAATAGCCCCTCTTCCATTCTACAGACGACATTTAACCAATGGACATTACACTAAATAAACACTTAAAGTGTGTAATATATCCTTTTAAACACGTTACGATCGTCTGAATTGTCATACTAGACGTTACAGAAATTATCTAAAATGTCAAGAATCAATTCCCAACGCGATAGTAGAATTCTAACAAAGTGTTATGATAATTTTACAATGCTTCTAAATTACCTTCATGGAATATTTGCCCAACTTCACTGTTGTATCAATCTGATGAAAACATATCCTATTTCGTTCCGTTTTCAATAGTCAACCTCGTGGGTTTTCTCCGGGTCCTCCGGTTTCCTCCCACTGCTAAAGACCCCTACGCGCAAGCGATTTATGTAAATAAAATTGAACCATATGTTAGTCCCGAAATGACCTAGTTTGTGTCGAGTGGACGTTAAACCCCATTTCTCTCTCTCTCTCTCTCTCTCCGTTTTCAATAGATCTGTGGAGGCCATCGAAAGTATAAATAAACGAAAAGAAATAATATATCTGTATTTAAAGTAGCTAAGTCTCTAACTCAATATCATCCAAAGTCTTCGACATTGAAAACACAAATTATCTGTCAATTTAAATCAACATTGATATATTTAAAGACAAAATAAACATTTCAAAATTGATACACGAATCGTGTATCATAATGCGTTTTAGCGCCATTTGTAACAAGGGACTCGAATGAACAAGGCTAGACATATTCCACAAGTCATCAAACGGTGACGACATATTCTTATCTGGAGAGCATGAATACTAACGGTGTAGACTGGAATAATCAGACGCTAGAGATTGCTATTCGCCGAACATATCTGATTTTAAATTATAGACTACAAACGGAAACGATTTAATGTAAATCAGTTTATATACATTCATATTACATTATTATATGCGTTACGACCCATTTGTGTCAATTTCTAGATCACAGATATTAGCGATTTAGCTCCTTTAAATCAGGTTATTGTTTGATTCGTGATCATATCTCGCAATTGACGCATTTACGAGAATGCCTAAATTGTTTATTGAAAAACTGGAATGGAAAAATAAATAGATAAAAATAAGTCGTTTCAATAACACATTGACAGGTTAAAACTGCATAATTAAGTCCAAGTAATTACCCCGTTTAAACGACATAATAGTCATTGTGTAAGGAGTGTTTTGTCCTTCCGCCATATCTCTAATATTTGCTATATACGCAACAACCAACAGCTTTTATTCCACCTTTACCCACACTTGCATTGTAAGTTAAAATGATGACAACTATCTAATGTATGCACTGGGCATAATCATATGTGGAAATCATGTTTCACGAAATTTTAACTAGGATAAAATCCAAATTTTAGTAATTTGATTGAACATTAGATTGATGTTAGTGCTTAGCCAATCAAAGTTGAAGTAACTACTAAAATTTGGATTTTATCTTTAGTTAAGATTTCGAGAAACAGGGCCCTGATATATAACCCCATATTGATTCCATTAGCAGCTCATGAGCAGAACAGTAGGACGTTATACCCCATTTCATTTCATTTCGAAATGATCAGACATAATTACGTCGTTTAAACGAAATAATGAGCGGAATAATTAATTCGTTAAAACGAAATAATTAAGGTCGTTTAAATAAGATAATAATGCCCTTTAAACGACTTTATTATCATGTTCAAACGTCTTGTTATTTCTATTTACTTTGCCCATACATATTCATCTCTTGGCAACTAAATTGGGTCATATCTGCAGATGATGCCACTGCTCTTAGAGTATGCTGGAATATCGTCATGCTGATAGCATAGTATAATATAAATAAATGTAAGCACAATTCTCGTCTTTTATTTTGATGTTACTAAGGATCAGTGATTATAGTGATTATAGCGACAGAGTGCAATTCTTGATCAACTTTGATATATCAAATGAATAATTGAAACATATTATAGATTAATTATATCAAACATCCTAGGTAAAACCATTTCCATCTTGTTTTTCCATGTTCTTAATAAACAAAGACACATTTCCCGTTTGTTGTTAAGATGGCTGGTTTTTGTTTTCTTGTGGTACATTAACTTGCTTTTCTTTACGTGTATATTATCTGGGTTTGTTGTGTCTGTGTTTACCAACATAATTAAAGTAGCTGTGATGAACTCTTCGTAATAGAAGTGGTACCCGACGTTCTAGAAGGAATAATCATACCCTTCTTTGTGCGTGACAACCACGACACAGATATAATCATCTAGAATGGTAGTTTGGACCTGGACTTTTGAAGTCGAGGGTTATTGGGTTTATTTTAGCCTCGGGTACAAAACCCACCAGTGGATTCACTAGCCCAGTGCTCTAAATAAAACACAATTGTTTTATGTATATAATTTCTAGTACGCGATGCGATATCATATGTTATGGAAAAAGTACGTATACGTGCTTCGTGCACGACACTCGTTACTGCTAATACTTGAGAAATGGTTTGGGTATGGATTTGAGAAGCCATGTTTAAGATAACAACGGGAACAAAGTCCCCACCAACAGAGCCCGCAACCCAGTGATTCAGTCAATTAATTATTGGTTTGTCTATTTCAGGATATGTTGGTTTTTATTAGTGTTGGGCTGTGGTGGATTGCTGGCCTTTCAGCTGGTGGATCGAATTATATACTATTATTCCTGGCCAGTTACAGTTAACGTCCATGTCAACTTTAATAAAACAATGCTCTTCCCTTCTGTCACTCTGTGTAATCAGAATGCTTTCAGGTGGGTTCATCAATATGATGATATTTTACATTATGGGAAGTCACTAGAATGGTTTCAGGTCATAATATGGGGACCTACCATGTCATAGTATATTACTTGTGATTAATATACATATGATTAAACCATTTGTTACCATAGATTCACGTAACCAACTAAGTTCGTATCCAGTGAAGCCACCAAGGAAAATCCGAGCTTTTTAAAGACTGGTGTCGTCGTTCGACTGGGCCGGTACCCAATTTGGGTCGGTAATTTACGTTTATTAGTTATAAGAATGTCCGTAACCGTCCGATGTTTGCAAGAAAAATGATAGCCATGTATGCTATGCAGCACCGTACTCAATAGGCCTAATAACAACTAACCAATACAATGCCAAATCTAAGGTTGGGCCAATAATAACCCCGATCGGGCTATTAGATACATAAGGAGAGAGATGAATCATATAGGTACATAAATACTTAAGTTCCATGGACAAGAAACCGGTTAACTGAATTACAAGTTTTTAAAGTCTCCTGGCAGGTGTCATTCCTTACAGAAACGCCAAGGTTCCTCTAAAATAAGAATTAGTATGTTTATCTGTTTATCTCAAGATCAGTTCATCAAGTTTAATGATACAGCTGGAAGACATGCAATTTTCTTGTAAAGGAAGTTCTGAATTGGCATCATTCGTTAACTATTTGATTAACATTGCAAACAGTTTATCACATACGAGTATATGTTTATCTAAAATTGCACCAAATTCTCAACCAGCAGCTGTTGAACTTCATTTTATCGAACTGATCAATATATTTGAAATGACGAATGACACATGGCTAAGAAAAATAATCTGATATTTTGTAAAAAAATCAATAGAACTTTGATATATAACTACAAACTTCCACTCTAACTCGAATTCCACATCATGGTGTTCTGTGAATGTAGTTTTTAGTCATCATTTTATATAAAGCCTTTAAAGTTTACTTTTTAAAATATATTAACCATGTTGTCCAGAGCTGCATGTTTTGATATAGTAGTACATGTATTTAGATCTGCGGAAGATCATACATTCCATAAGAATAGAATATTAAAAGTATTTTCCATTTGCTTTTACACGGTTTCTAAAACAATCATTGAATTCAGATTTAGTAGAAAATAGTCGCGATAATCCAGGCATGCCAATCAACTAGAGAACGATGAAAGAATTGACATATAACCGAGACGCTGGATTATGTACGATTGCGATATAATTTTAGGGTATTATTAAATAGATGTATGCAAAATGTTTATTTAGTGATGGTGATGCAGAGATAGGTGAGGGTAGTACATGAATATCGTGGCATAATTATCGAAAAGTCTAAGGCTCTGTCAATTCAAAGTCCGACCGACATGACAACTGGCATGCATGTTCTTTGAACAATTCTACACAGATTTAGTGAATTAGATTTTTGAATTTCATCCAACAACAAGGTCAGTCCCTGGTCCATAATACGATCGTGTGGTGCACCATAATATTTTAAAACGGTTTAGTACGGTTTAGCGAATATACTAAAGATCTTAATATAATCATTAGCGTCAAAGGGGAATATAATACAGAAAGCTACTAGATTCAGGTCTGAACACCTCCTTCCTTTGGTGTTGAATACATGCAAGTAGATGCAATTTATAAAAGTAAACAGACATTTTTTTCTTGTCGAGTTTATGTGAAATCCAATTATACATAATAGTACACATTACGCAATGGGTTTAATTAATTGCAGCGGAACTTGGCGGAACAACGCCATAAGTTTTAATTGGGTATGGTTTGTTGGGTAAATCGATTTTACATTTAAATGTTTCATTAAGCTGTTAATAGCTGATATGACTTCAGGAATGTAAGGCATGGCTAATGGGTTTGATTAAAAGCGTGTCGTGTGGTACGATTAATAAATTTAATGCAATTTATTGAATATAATATGCAATAATAAAGAGAAAAAACCACAATCAAAACAAAGGCAGTAAAAAAGCTATTGATTAATTTGAATGCACACACTATGCATATAAATATATTGAATCTGTATTTACAGTAAACCCCTTATCCACGTTAATTAATATATGTACATGTACTGGTGTTTCATGGATTATGCTGAATAAACACACAATTAACGATACAGAAACATATAATCCGGATGTAAACTTCAACTGTGTCACATGTAAACAATTGTGATAAGATGCTTCAGTGCACTTGCATTCCTATCTACCTCATCTATGAGTTTTTTTCATATACTCCAATTTCATCCGCCTGAGGTTATCCAGTTAATGCTAAGTGGACAGACACCCTCTCCCTTTTTTCATCTTGTAGTATCATTTGTTTTGGTCATGTCGGTTTTTATTCCTGTAATATTATTTGTAATGTCTGTAATATTATTTGTAATGTCTGTAATATTATTTATTATGATCATGTCTGTTGTCCTGTAGTATTATTTGTCATGGTTATGTCTGTTTTATTCCTGTAATATTATTTGTTATGTTAATATTATTTGATATGGCTATGTCTGTTGTTAATCCTGTAGTATTATTTGTAATGTAAAATGTTTTCCAACTATTTCTAGTTAATGCGTTAAATAGTTCACATTAATGAATTTAATAATATATAAAGGATGTGATCAATACTTATGTCGTGTATTAAAGTGTTATATAAACAGTATAATACCTAGAATTAATAACTACTGATTATATAAATAATACAACGCACAGTAATTGTTATGGACGACATGGAAATATTTGATAAATATTTGTTAATGTCAAATAATAACATATTTGAAATGAAGAAAGATTAAAAAATATCTTCTATACAACTTTGTGCGAGTCAATATGAATATACATGTATTGAATATTTAAGTCAAATTACTTTATTCTGGGCAAAGTTTTGAATGTTTTTATTCTAGATTGTCAAGTACCATTGCCACAACAAGAATCGATATCTCGGTTGTCAGTCATTTAATCGGCAATCTTATGCCATATGAGGGTTAACGTAGATATGGCGGACATTGTACAGTCCCCTCAATATCTAAGTCACTCGATGATCTACAGAGTTAACTAATTGCTCGTCATGTGAATAACTGTCTAAATAACAATCCATTTAACATTTGATGCCAGAAAAACGCTTGGGAATATTATAGTTCAGCTCCCGTATAATGCCTCTAATAAGGAAGTGGGTGGAGGCAGTGTCAGGGGTGGTAGAGACTAGTTTTTATCAATTATTATATTATGTGAACCAATGTAAGTGTATAGCTAGGTATCAAATCAACTATATATGTTATAACGACGATGTAATAATATACATTAACATGTTTTAATTACAGGTCAACTGCAGCAACAAAGTTAAATAGATATGAACTAATAGATCAAATGTTTACTTCATCTAATAACTTCTCTACACAAGCTCTAGAGTATTATAACTCTACAAATATTACACTAGATGACTTCTTTCAACAAACAGCTCATACCAAAGAAGATCTCATTATAAGGTATAGTAATTGAATTCAGTTTGTGAATCGAAGAAGTGCTTTATTTAAAACAATAAAATTGACTTCAATCTAATTTAAATTGGTGTACAGGTATTCTTTTTGTGGGGAATTGTGTGAATCATGGCAAAACTTGGTGTTTTGTTTAAAAGTCAGTCAGTGGTAAATAGTAGCTGTACCTCAGCGATTTACACATTGCCGCCTTATTGGTGGGCTATAGTTAATTACACTTGTGTATATTCTACTTTTAACCCCTGATTTTACCTAATACTAATGGTGATGAATGCTTTTAAACTTGTGCTTCTGAGCGACATAAACATTACAAACTAACATAGACTTGACTAGATTTGTCTTGGTCGAGACAATTTTCTGAGTATATTAAATATTTTAGCGATAGCAACATTCTCAATTGTCAGACTTTAATATAAACTTATACATTTAGTATTTTATTAAATTATGACTAAAAGATACATTAGTTAAACATATATTATGCAAGAGCTAAATCTGTCTATTGCTATGGTACCCTCGCTTGGTAGGCCTTTTATCTCCAGTTTCCGGTAGTGACGTCAGTGACTAAAGGTAAACGTTAGTTTGGTCGGCCATTTCTTGATTTAATTTTAAATGGACGACTGTTTAAATCCAAACTGTATCCAAGCCATCCGAGGGCCTACATAGTTGATTTTGGGCGTGCCATGTAAATAAAGGTCTAATTAATAATTTCTATAACATCTGAAGCCTAAATAAAGACTTGCAATAGGCAAATTTAGCTCTTGCATAATGTATGTTTAAGCTATGTATGCGACTTCTCGTATTTACTCTGACCTTAAGAACTGGTAGTTGGATGTTATTTCTCTGAACATCTATATGAACTGTCTGCTACTTTATTAATGTTATAGTGATACTATTTGGTGATTTATTTGACAATGTGACCTTCACATATTTCAAGTAAAATTATATACAATTATGAATAATGGTTTCATACTCACAAATTGTAAAATGTTGATCTTTTAATAGAACAAAATGAAATAAATACGCGGGTAATTTGTTTGAACGATATAATGAATGTAGTAACAACCAGGGTTATGACATTCACTCCATATGAGTCATGTCAAGTATTATATGTCCTTTATTGATTACAAAATATATTCAACTACTTTTTTTTTTTTTTTAAAAACTCAAAAATTATTTATCGTTTTATCTGATTGTAGGCGGCATTATGTTAGTTCCAACATACAGGACATAAAACAATATGCCATGACTTTTCGACCCATCTTTAAGCTAAATATTTATTCCACAGATAAATTTTTGAATAAATTTCTTTCGACGCTGGGATAAGATTGGACACAAACGTTGCCATTTCATGTCCCCAAAATATTTTATTTCTTTACTTCACGTAATAATGACCACACCCATACAAATATTATATGGCCTGATCCTGTTCAGATCGAACACAATTACCCACAAAAAGAAACAAAAAAGCCTATGGACTATGTAATAAAATAATGAACAATAGTAAAGGACTAAATCCCACTTGGATAAAATTGTATTAAGGGTTTAAAAAAATGTAAGCATGCCCTGCCCAACACACAGCAATCGCCATTAATATTTAGAATTCAATTTAATTAATGAGTGTTAGAAGGACACATTATTGATACTGGCAGCCACAAACATACATGTATATCATTTACTGTTGTCCGGGTAAAATGTCCCTCATAGCAGACTGTATGACGTATGCCCGTCTGCATTAGCCCAGTTCGGAGCAGAACAGTAGGACGTTAAACCCCATTTCATTTAATTTCCACATTTTTAAAGATGTGAATGGCAGAATGAGCAATGTGGACCCGACAATTTTACGGAGATATTTACAGATCACGGTGTGTGTTATAGCTTTAATCACCAATCTCACAATGCACTTGCTGTCACTTCTACAGGTGAGTTACACACTTCCTTCGTTAGTTTCTGCCCCTTTAATTTTAGCTTTGAAAAGCAATGAGACAGGTTTTTTTTTAGATGATCCGGTTATTTTACTTTTGTACGGGTGTGGAACAACAATTTTAAGATTACTTAAAATAATGTTAATTTCCAACTCTCCAAAATAGTCACCATGAAAGGAGAAAATTCCCAGTGACGTTATATAATAACGTAAAGTCAGTATATCTGTAACCCGTTTCTGTGTGTCGCACTTTAGAAGTCATATAACACTATATGCACATAAGATGGTTATGACAACTGCCTTATTTTCATTAATGTAGGTCCCTTTCTCAGTGGCGTACCAGAGGTTACGCTGTCCTGTAGTTTGCCACCCAACGACCACCATTCAAAAATAACAACAACAACACAATACAATACACATCGAACATACTTAGACTGCTGAATAGTTTCTTTTGTCATATTAAAAAGCCTGTCGAAGCTTAGTTGTCTGGCATGGGATAGAATGTTTAGAGCTTTTGGCTATGTTTAATTTGATATTAACGTCTTTTAGGTTCCGATTATGGTTTAAAACTAACCTTGAATGTAGAACAGTATGAATACATGCCAGGACCCCACACCGCAGCTGGTATTAAATTATTATTCCATGACCAAAAAGAGTTCCCTAAAGTACATGAATTGGGGTTGGCAATACCAACAGGAGCACACGCTTTTATAGGCCTGCAGCTTGTATCGGTAAGTATGTATTATTCGAAATGTTCGCGATGAACAATGTTTCATCAAATTCGACATACATCTTCAACACTTTAGCATTTCAAATATCTTGGTTAATCAAGTATGGATGAAGTTTCAGACAAGGTTGCATTCAGCTATCGAACTTAATTAAGAAACTGCTTAATCGAACAAGATCCAATTTTTATTCACAGACGATTGCGGTTGTTAAAACCTGTAGATCTATTTGCAATTAAACACCGCATACCCCACCCCCTGTAAACCAAACAAATAAACTCAAAATTTAAGGTATTTCTCTTATATTGTGCCCAACAAAACACCCCAAAACACAACAAACTCTGATGCTTGAGTTATTTTAGCTCATATTTCAATTACAACAAATTCGGTTTCGTATAGTTAGATTAGCAATGGGGGTTTAAATTAATCTCTCATCTGCACATAAAAAAACCCACTTCATTAAATCTGACATTGTACTCGGTCGGTAGTTTGTGATGCAGTAAATTAAATGATTTTATCCCAGTGGAACATGTAATAAAATCAAACGTAATTATTTATTATCAACCTCCATAAAAGCGCGCAATGGATCGTAAAAAAAGTCGGTGATTCAGCCTTTTGTGTAGATGGCAAAATTTATGATTGATGTAGAAAGTTTGAGCATCGCTCAGGAGCATGAATATTAAAGGACCCAGTGCCCTTTGATTTAGATCAATATAGCTTTCTGAAATTGGATGGTATATTGTGATATTTCGAATAGTAACAGAAGTGTATAAAAGGATTGAACAGGTTAGATTAAAAAAGACACTTGACTCCAACAGACATCGCTGACCCTTTATTTTTATATGTAATGTGGTTTAGCGTCTTTTTGTCTGCACAAACCAGGCTAATGAGGACGGCGCCTTCATTTTCGTTAGTTAACACGAAAGTCGGTCTGTTTACACATTTTCTCCCTTTCCCTGTCGAGAATCGATAGATAAAAATAGACGTTCGTTTTAGTATAATAAGTCTATTCATGTATGTCTAACAAACCAAATCTCCAAAGACTCAGGCGGTTATCTAAAAAATGTGTGAAACCACGATGTAGAGTTGTGATTGTTTAACCTGTTTTGTGAGGAACATGAACAATTAATATCAACACGGTGTTTTACATAGTATAAATATCACAATCCATTTTATGTTGACGTCTCTTGGTGCCAAATATCTTGACTACACATTTGTTGAAAATACTCAGTTGTGGTTATTTCTGTTTACTTTAGCTTTTAAAAAAACTATTGGAAAAATTGTATTGGGGAAAAATATGATCAGTCAATTTAGACTGAAGCGAGTTTATCCGTGTTGATGCCGTGATTATGTCGAGTCGGTCTTGTCAAGGTTTTGTTGGATCTTAGATGGAATGGGTTGGCCCTGCATGACCTGGACCGTCACGGCCACTCATTGGGAAGAGGTTGAGTTGATGTCTTTTCAAAAAGACCTGCTCCCGTTTCACCAAGACCTGGCGGCGACCTTCGCTATCCAAGAAGACCTTTTCCAGTTTTACAACACGACTCAGAAATCTATTGGACTAACTAAACCACATAAAACGATAATAAATAGATCTTTGCAATGGAGATATACCTAAGTATGGCTCCACTCACAGAATAATAAAACAATATTAACCTGTCTCTAATTTCTTATGTCTTATGTAACATTCTGTTATTTTAGATAGCCAATTTACCGAAGCCCCATGGTGACTGTGCTGAGAACAAATCGCCATATTATCGGCGGTATTCGCCCGATGCCTGTAGACTGACGTGTATGACGCAATTTATGAATGAAGCTTGTGGATGTCGTCATCACTTTATGCCTAGTATTGAAGGTAAATAAGACTATTTATTACCTACCTTGATTATTAATTATTAAATGTGCTATATCAATGTGGTCGTATATTGTCGTCACACCGCCCGCCCGCTCGTCAACCCGTCCGTCCGCCCGTCCATCAGTCGCCCAGTATCGTGTGTGGACACTCTACGGTCTAAATTAATTATATGATTACTACCAGAGTTATGACCATTGACCACTTTGACATATCATGTGAACGCTCTACAGGGTAAAGTTAATATCCGATATGTATGGACATGATATTAAGAAGCCTATAGTAATATAACGATTTCATATAATTACTGTCAGAGTTTTGGCCCTTGATCACTTTAAAAAAAAATGTGGACACTGGGAAGGCTAAAGTTATCATCTGGTTGACTTACAAACAGTGTTCGGGGTGTCATAAAACTAAAAAGTCCATTGATTAACAATTATTTCCGATAATTGCTGCTGGAGTTCTGGAACTTGATCACTTTGAAACAACTTGTGGATGCTCGTACGACAAAATTTATCATCCAACTGACTTTAAATTTATTCGAAAGTTTAACGTCATGGAACAACAAAGCATATTGATTTCCAATGGTTTCTAATAAATATTGGCGGAGTATTGCCCTAGATTTTCAAAGATTTTTGATAAATAGAACAGCTAATTATATGATATCACATGTTTGGTATACTAAACGTTAGCATGTGACAGAACTATTCTAATAATTTCTGATAACCACTTCTTAGTATGTTGTACATATTTTCATCACTCACCCAAGGCAAAATATGCGACAACCCTTGTTGACTGACCGGACGACTTAGCTTATGTATAAGAAAAGACGAAGTCAGCGTAAGATGTGGTTCTGATTGTATTACCTTTCTCTGAAAATAATATTTTTACTGTGTTTGGATAGTTAGCACCTTGGTGGCATGCTTCTACATTCTGCATAAACTACAAAAAATAACTATGAGGTTTGATTGCTTCCTATTGAATAAGTTTCTTGGTCTTAAACTTCTGTCCACTACCCTGATAGTGATTGGGTTATTAACTGTCTACTAGACTAAAAAAACATGTCAACAATTTATAGCAGTCGCCAGTTTTACTTCCTGTCGGGAGCCTTTAGTGTATCGAGCTCAAATTAAACAGTAACAGATCAATCGTTACAAAGGGTGGTTATAACGGAATAATCACGCGAGTGGACGGTCGGATGGATAAATCGTATCAATTTCGCCCTTTTCAATTTCAGGTGAACCACCGATCTGTACATTACAACAGTATTATGGATGTTTCCTACAACAAATTGGTAACTATAAAAAAATCTTGATATATAGGGGAAAAAATACGGAATAGTCAAAGCTGACAACATATTGAATTTGACAATTCTGAGTTACGTCACATGGCTAAGTGCTACATTTAATCCAATATGTGTTCCTGATAATTTGGTGCTATTTTGCCCGTTGAAATAGCAGTGTTTATCTACATTGATCATTACGTTTATACCAGCACCAATCAAATTTGTTGTGCTATTAATGTCATTTACTTTCTCAGAAATTGGGGTCTGTTTGCTTCCGCACCTTCCATTGATGTATGGCGAGAACATAAATATATTACCGTATAATCTTTTTTACTTTAAGGTCAAGTCAAAAACAAGATACATACAGAATGCGAATGTCCAGTTCCATGTCATTTTCTTATTTTTGACCCATCTCTATCCTTTGCTGCTACCTCTACATATGCAACGGATCGTCTACTAGCAGCAACAAGTGGTTCCAACCTCCAGGAACGCTATGATGATGCACGGGAAACGACGAGCAGAATGGACCAGCTAAAGTTTAAGCGATTCCAGAAACTAGAGCAAGACGTAAGCTTACAGTTACAAACGTTGAAGCACGTGATGGTAGACGAAATCCAGGCTACGATACAAGAGCAGGAGGAATTGTTAACTACAGTATCCAATGAGACTGGAGATGTGTTATATATAAAAGACTTTCTGTACAGATATCAACAATATATGGTGGTAAAGAACTTTGCGCGAGCACGAGATGCTATGGAGGAGCGAACGTTTAATTTTCTCGCACTGGGTTTCCAGGAGTTCTCTTACCAAATAGAAACCAAAATTAGTCAACTAATGGATCCAGAGTTTCAGAATTTTAGCACGCGACAGACTCTGTATATAATGACAATGAATCAGCTTAATGGACGAATTGACCTTGCTGATCGAGCTTTTGCAAACTACACTGATCTTTATAATTCCTATGCCACGGGGAACCCGATTTTTCGTTACCAATTTGAAACCGAGTCACGAAATGATAACATATTTGTAATTCCGAAACCACTTCTAGAATATTCTTTAAACCATTCAGCCTACGCTGAAACGTATTCAAAAAGAGTCGGTAATGATGTACTCCTGTTTAAATCCAAATTACAAAATCTATCCGCCATATTAGAAGAGGCTTATCATAATAAAACATTAAATGAGACGCAACTCCATGAAGCCTGTGTCCTTTTCTTGCATTCGGGCCGGAGATATTTTCACAGTAAAAGTACGTTTTATTTTGAAACAATTGATTATCCAAAGCGAATAATTACTGAACGAATCAGCAACCTTTCTGTGCTCAGTAGACAGTACAAGGCAGTTGTTAATTCAATGAAACAACATTTATCCAGTTTAAAAAAGTCACTTGAAGAATTAAAGGCATCGCTAATTAAACAGTTAGAGCATGGTTTGGAAAGTGCGTCTGATTTTATTATATATGGAAACATTACAAAAATGTCGGTGGCTAAGGAAATGACGTCTAGTAAAATTTTTAACGGCATATCAAACTTAAAAATGTTCTTCCAAGATTTAAGGTCACGTGGGCAAAGTGTTTATGATGGTTGGTCATCGCTGGCAGATGCCACGGCTGCTGTTTGGAACGTGGCTATCAATGATGATGACATGTTAGACTATTTTAATTATAAAAATATGAGTCTTTTCCTAAGAAATTTTACTGATGTAAAATTTGAAATAGAACAAAATTATACCCGGTATAGAATATTGCACGACTTACTCGCACCTGTGGGCAATATTGAAAGTCTGTTTTTAAAAAGTTTAGAGGATTTGATGTATGAATTACAAATGTTTATGGATGAAGCCAAAATAGATTCCAATTTTATCAAGTAAGTAGGATTCAGTTGATGTTACCATTCTCTATTGTTCTGTTCTGTGGATGACCGAACTGAAATGAACTGGGGTTTAACGTCTACACCAACTTGAAGGACAGGCTATGGGCAAAATTTAGCCCGGACAGCGGCGCTTCCGCCTACTCTTCATTGAATTTCAACAGACCCAATCTAACTAGAAATAAACCTTTACCCTTTGCCCGAGTTACATTTTGTATTGTAAGAAGATGTAAATTCCCCACCCCTCCCTTAATTGTTAGCTCTGCTGGAAGCTGACTTAAGTCTTTCTGCTTGATTAAATTGGTGCTTAACAGAGACATGTGTATTCACGAATTTTGAGCCAGCGGGGGTTGCGTTATGGTATTTAGTTTGGAATTTGGGTGATTCATCATTAGAATTTGATTGTTATTTCAGGGAGAATTTTCTGCAGTTAGATATATTTTACAGAGAGAAAAGTTATGAAGAAATTACGCAACAAATAGCATATGACAATTTCGCCCTTTTCTGTAAGTGCTAGTCTGTTGTTGATAACAATGGCTTTCAAACACATATAAAATGTAAACTATAAAAAAAATATCAACTCGGCCAAATATTCAACAACTCAGTTACTTACATATAAAAATATAACGAAAAATGTCTTAGCTAAATGGAGTCGCAAATGTACGACACAATTTGACTTGGATTTCATCCCCGCGAAGCCACACTATTTTTATATAAATCTTTATTCAAAAATTCTGTTACGTTCTATATTACACAGGACGCCATCCCTTTGTGTTGTTATTGTTGTTTTTTTTACAATGATTTGCGTATGAATATGATGAACGATAATTTGTCGCAGTGCTTTCTTTTGTTAGTCTTCTCACCCTCCACATATCACTATATTATCCACCTATATTGAGATGACAGCCCAAACTCGTTCTGGAAACTGGTTTCCTACCAAGCGCATGTCACGTCGCAGCTGGGAAGTGAGAAAAGATAGTGTAGCATAAGTTTTCTTTTCACTGACCACATTGTCTTCCATTGAAATGATATAGTAGCTAAACCTTTGTCGAGTAAAACGACAGTAATAAAGAGGTTCAGATGCGTTCCTAAGGCTGGTATTTTTGAAAGAGATGTATTTCGGGATAATTATGAAAAAGATTGTCTTAAATAGAATTAAATCACCACGGAATTCACTTACGACTTCAGAGGGTCCAAGACATTTTCACGAGCGAGTTCGCTGCTGCCATAGGGGAAACCCTCGAGAACTGATGACGTTGTATGCAAAAAGGGAATCACCTCGTTCTCGATCTCGGAGTGCATCTGCATCTCTCTAATGTCCAACGCAATTGACCAAAGCGAACGGGTTTGATACCTTGAAGAACGTTATAACAGGAAATCTGTATTATTTAATGTGTATATGTTTCAGGTGATTTTGGTGGCTCTATGGGATTATTTGTTGGTGCCAGTGTTTTAACTGTGTTCGAACTTCTGGATTTAATTATTCAACAGTGTCTGAAAACTGCCAAATAAATTACTTAACGTAGTGAAAATTGAAATGTTGAAATACTGTGAAAAATGTAACATACTAAAAAATGTCATAGATCATCATCACCGTCATCATTTTCATCCTCATCATCTCATTTTATAGACATTAATCCTAGTAGAATGGTATCTACCGGAAGATGGAACTACTAACAATGAATTTTATTTCATTTTTTTGTTATTAAAAGATGTCACATGTGTAATATCAGAGTGAACAGAGTGGAGGTTGTTTGGAATGCTATAGATTTGTTACTGAGTAAAAATTTGGACCGCTATGGCACTTCTAATTTGTATTTCCAATTAATTTTCTCCAGCAGTATAAAGAGTAAATTAGCATATGCACAATACATATAATTATGAACTGCACATTGTGAAGATTTTCTACCTTGGAGGTTTCGTGTCGTGGGCTGCGTGGGCTGGGCGGGCGGCGGGGGTATTACTGAACTACCGAACCGCATTTTAAAACATTCTATGGTTTTCATCAAATAAAAACAAATAAATCCTCAAATATACTTAATGTTTCTTTATTTAACTAAATTACGTGGCATAGTAATTGCAAGACAGATATACTACCGGCTACTAATGTATACTTTGTCATAATTAAACCGGGTTATATTGGCAGAGTCGCCTTGTTTCCTCGCACTGCTAAAGATGTAATACAATATCATTTGGGATCTAAATTTTATTATTGTATTTTGAATTCATATTTTAATTTATATTTTTCATTTGTAACTCATTTTGGACATGTGACAGATTAATTGTAAAATGTAATCTGCATCAGGTGTGAGGGTTATTTCATAGTATTATGTAAGATATAATGGGTTGTCAAACTTATTTGCTCGGTTTGTCTTTAGACAAGTACAATATGATATAAGATTTAGGTAACACGCATTAACACATATTGTCTAGAGATAAGATGTGTGAATCTTAATAATTAGTTCTCATTGTTCTGATTACTAATGGTATTAACTATGGCGTGCCCTAGCCGATATAAAAAGCCTGGTTTACAAGCAGGCAGGGAGAAGTACAGAAGAGGCGCAGAGAGAGACCTAGAGGGCCTGCCCTTGACCCCGGAGAGAGGGGTCCTGTGAGGCCGAGGAGAAGCAGCAATAGCTAGACGTTACCATACCCAACCAAATGATGTTCATATGTACCTGTAAACATGTTATCCAGTATTAAAATATCTTTTTAATAAATAAGAGTTATGTATTCTATCACAAAGACCCCTACGTGCAAGCGAACTATTGAAATAAAACTGAACCATATGTTAGTCACGAAATGATCTAGTTTGTGTCGAGTGGACGTTAAACGCCATTTCTCTCTCTCTATGTAAGTTAGTTCGTATATCAATGAATATAATGAACAGGAGGCCGGAACTGGAGCTAATATTGATTACAAAATATAAGCCCCCCCCCCCCCCACACACACCCCTACCCGGAATGGTCCATTGATATCATGAATTTGATTAATATCCAAGTATTACGTTTGATCCAGAAGTAAACAAGGACCAACAATTTTTGAGAATCGAAAGATCAGACGATTTTTGTCTATCTTATAGAATATTCGATTCCAAATATTAGTTGAAGATTAGATAAGCAGACTAAGACGGCATTAACCCTTTGTGTATAATTTAACCGGATGGTGAAAAACATAATTGTAAATTTTAGTATACTCTTACATCTGAACACTAAAATTGGATTCCAGGCTATCTACCAAGCCATAAATGAAATATTAATGTTTTAATGGCCAATTTGTAAAAGTCGTACACATTATTTAGTAGGGTGAAAGGAGTGTACCGAACCCTGGCACAAAATACCTTACTGTAATTATGTCAGTTCCAAATTATGGCAGTGTCTAATATTAAGTGCATTTAGTTTCCTTATCAAAGGGATAACAACAGCTTAAAAAGACTTAGTTTTTATTATTCTCTGAACATCTCAAAGGAAAATATACAACATGCTTTGCTCATCAAATCACTATAAACACACTATACTATTCTAATTTCCTTTAGAATATTCCCCTTTTCTGGTTTCAAAAAAATGCATTTTGGTTACATCGTGTAGAATATGTTCTATTACTAATCAGAATCACACATCACATAAACCCACATTTTTTAACACCGAACATGCTTTATCAACCCGGTAGAGTTGTTATACAGCAGTTTCCGTTACTGTTGGTCTTGTGAACAATTTTACAGCGCAACTATTAACTAGAAGATCTATTATTTCAAATATAGTCATGACACTTGCTCCAATAAATAATCCCATAGATCCTCCAATATCACCTGAAAATATAAACATTTATATTTTAAAAATATCATATTTAAAAGATACAAAATGCCAGCATTGCTTATTACTTCAATAATATGGCCAAAGCCATATTCAATTCTGTCCGCTAAGGCCATCGATGTAGTGGTTTAAAATGATCGATTTTCGATAAGAGAGTAATGTATATACATGTAGTTCTAGTATATGCATGTTTTCGTATTCATTAAAAATAGTAAAATGTGAACTTTAGATGATTATATCTTACGTTAGGATTGATTGATTTCACTCCAGTATACTTTTTAAGACGACTATAGTTTTTTGCGGCTTTAACATAATACTTGATCAAGATAACTTACAGAATAAGGCGAAGACATCATAAGCTTTTTGTTGTGTGATCTGTTCGTAGTTTAACTCCTTGAAATATAGATTTACCAGTAGAAAATTAGACCTGCAATAAAGATTAACCAGTATTTCTTTTATATTGTGGACGTTTGGTAGCCAGTGCATGTAATTTATTAAAAATGTTGTGGGTACACTATTTATAATTGTCTATAAACAAGTGACATAGGGCACATACTCTTAAGTAATTCCCAAATCTTGCTATAAGATAAGCAATGCATACTCTTAAGTAATTCCCAAATCTTGCTATAAGATAAGCAATGCATATTGACCTCAAAAGCATCTGCAAGATAAACAATTATTATGAAGATAAAACTAAAATGTTACTTGGACAATTAAGCAGACATGAGCAATAATATGCAGAATCGCTGAACAAACAAACCCCACTATTCATATCACTCTCCACAACCTTTTAAAAATTTGATCCTAAAAACAAAGAAGACACAAACGGTATTGAAAAAAAAATTCATTTTCATTGATATTCTCAAACTTTACCTGACGAAATTATGATCCACATTTTCAGATTCATTGAAATCTTCCAACACAGCGATCAGTGATTTCAATTCTCGTAGGAAATCATCATCAACGTGCTGGACTATTGTTCTCAGATCCAGGGAATCTCGATAAGATTCGTATTCTTTGGTTAGACTTTCCGATACATTGTCATAATCCTGTAAATACTTTGTCATCTTCATATGTTTATAATAGGATGCCATATCAACATCAGATAACACTAATTTCCACAGAGCATCCGAACTCATTAACAAATCACCCCAATAGTCGAATATTATCTGACCCCGAGTTCGTACTTCATTAAATAAAACAGTTAAAGAGTTGGAACCCTCTTTTATGGTGTCCGAGGCGAACAATTTCGCAATGTCTAATTTCCTAACAGAACCATCTTTTAAATAATGGTCACACATATCCAACCCGTCTTTAATCCGCTTTAAAAACAGATTCTCAACATTTTCAAGATTATTTTCTAGACTCGATAAGGCGTTCAAAATATTATTTTTCAAAAAGCGTATTTGATTCATGATTAATTCTAATTTATTTTGTTGTTTAGTCATTTCAGTAATTGGCCAATGAGAGCCTTCTTTTAAAAGGTGACTCTTACTCTGAAGGAAATGGCGACACCAATAAAGATACTGAACAGTGGCAATATGGAATTTGGTAGCATTAAAAGTCGAATTATAATAGGCCTCTGATGTCATATCTAGCATTTTTTGCAAATACGTTTTGATCTGTTTTAGTTCACCAGGTATCCGTGCCGTGCGATTGCGTATTAGTCTTGAAAACTTGAAAGCATTTTTGAGAAGCACCTTTGGTATAATGGCCTTCCGTTCACGCCATCCTTTGTCCTGATATACGTAATTAAATATGGGCTTTCCCCTTCGAAAAGCCTCAGAGAGCTCCGTGTAATTACTTATGGCGTTATCGCACATAAACATTTTTGCTCGCAAAATCGTTGATATGAATACAAACAATGAGTGTCTTGATGCCTTTGTTGTTGCATTTTCAAACGCTATAATGTTAACCAAGTTTTTCGCATGAAACACAAATTGTTGCATATCATTTGTCACCGAGAAAAACGACCTCTCTTCCATTGCTGAACCGGCTCTTACAAAATTTTTGGACACCATATATTTACGAAAATGATATAAATGTTTCGTTTTATTTCCGACTTTGCTGATTTCTGTAAAAACACTTATTGCGGCGTTTCTTTGATCCTTCAGCTGCTTTAACAAATCTTGCAATACAACTGTTTCTAATATTTCATATTTTATTTTTACGTTCCATAACTTCTTATTGAACGGAATTGCATATTCTTTTTGCAGGCGATGAGTTATTTCCCTTGCTTGGTTATAATTCCGGGTCATGGCGGACATGTTAACCCCGTCAAGAAGACGCGATTGAACCATGGTTGATAAAGAGGAATACGATAGTGCAGGGTCGTAAATTTTAAAATCACAAGAAACTGGACAGGAGCAAGTTTGATGCATTTCATCAATAAAATGATCTGGAAAAACAATGAAATTACAGATGTTTACACCAATGATATGGCTCTTGCAAATCAAAAATTACAATCTTAGTCAATGAACAAATTCGTGAAATAAATAGCCAGAACTGGTGTTGAATGGGGTTTAACATTCCATCAACCCAACACGTAGGCCATTTGGAGACAAATATATAATATTTAAACATTTATTATACGCTCGTATTATTTTATCGTTAAGTGAGTATTTGAACTTTTATATATTATTTTAATGCAAGGTAGGAGAGTTTTGCCCGGAGAACGACGATTCTTTTGCTTGTATGTCAATCTGCGGACCTGGGCGTGGACCGCAGCTGCTACCCCTGACACGTGACGACCTGGCCTTTTTACGACTCTTTATACTGGATCCGATCCCCTTGTATTCTAATCGAGGGGGCGACTCCCTGCTCGACTATCATGGCTTCTATTGAGGAGCGAAGGTTGTGAGTACTAGATGATAAAACCCCACCTAGATGTAGTGACCGCACGGTTACATGTTCACCTTGGCTGCTGAATCCCTATTGTGTTCGATTAGACCGCTATCCTATTTTATCCAGGTGTGGTTCAATGAATTTAAAATCAGGTAATAAATTCGTTTATTTTCCTTACTTTTGAATTCTTAACACCCGAAATACAACGAAACGATATTCACATCTGGTAAATGAAAATTCTATTTTATATTATATGGGTAATGACTTGCGAATCACAGGTCCACTCTCACCAAGGAAATCGGTAATTTGAATCAGACCACTGTTATATCACAAGTATCTAAATTTAAATAGTACGTATTGGGTTTTAAGAATCAACATTAATCAGAAGTATTAAAGTGAACACTTGAGATTACATCTTACCTTTTTGTGGAAGATAACATGAGTAATATTGCTTTAACGAACACACGTTCGGGGAACCTAAAACATGAGAATATATATTTAGATTATAGTAGCAAACGATAGTCGGCTGTTACTCGTAGGTCTAATAATAAACAATTAATTAGGACACGTACCCGATGACACATACTAATTGCACAGTAAGGATTTGAAGCACCTGTTAGTGGAACTATACACAAAATTCCATCACGCTCCATCAGTTAGAATCGAAGTTGTCTTATCCCAAAGCATCGACGAATGAAATTGCTTAGCTTTAGCGGATAATGTTATTCATTGAACTCAGTCAAGACATTCACTTAATGAACACCAAGTATAAACATTCTACCGCAATTAAAAGCAGATGTGGTACGTTCCAAAGTCTTGACCAATTAAATCGTATATCGCTATTTATCCTAAGCAGAAAATTCACAAGGTGCCGGTTTAATGAATCTATACTCTGAGTTTATGATTCTCACCCATATAGAACAAAAGTTGTCGTGTGACAATTGCTTATCGCTGCTTAGCCTTAGTGGAAAATGCACATGATCAAACACTGTCAAGGAATTCACCTAATAAAACCTACGCCAAGTTTAAACATTCTACCCCAAGTAGAAGGAAGAGTTATTGTGTACCAAAGTTTTGACTTAACCTAAGCAGAAAATACCCATCATCGAATTTAGTCAACCACACACGAAGTTTCACCACTCTCACTCAATTAGAATCAAAGTAGTCCAGTCAATCTACGTTAAATTTAGGGTAACCTGGAACACATTCCAACAGACGGTTTCTTGGTACCGTTGGGATCATCCTGTACAACATATCCAAAGCTCTCTGATTTTCGTTTCGGGGAAAGAGTCACAATTCTACGTTACAGCCACAATTGATGCTTTTCGGGATTGCCTCTGGAGGTGGCACGGAGTCAATTATTTTGGGTTCTAATTTGCTTTCGCAAGTCTCCATCTCCACTCTTCTGGGCTTGATTCACCACCCCTCCCCATTCTCAAATGCACCTGGTAGTACACACGGAAACCATGATACTTTGCAACATCTAGAGTCGGCGACAAGTTCTGAATCTGGACACACGACAAGCTTTTCACTCCACGAACACAACGCTACCAAGAAACCATCTGTTGCAATTTGTTCTAGCTCTGCTCTTATTTTGAGTGGACAAAACTTTTCGAGCGCCGAAGTCTGCATCAATTTGTTATCGCTCTGCTTATTATCGAACCTGGTCAAGCTATTGATATAATAAAACTATACACAATATTTATCACTCTCACTTAACTTGAACCAAAGTTATGGCATCACAAAACATAACCCAAGCAGAAAATGCTTATCTTCGAACTTCATCAAGTGATTCACCCAATAAACACATACACCAAGATTGATCATCCTACCTCAATTAGAGGGAGAGTAACTGTGCCCCCCGCCCCCAAAAGTGTAACGGACACTCATTTTAACTGTCCCCTGCGGCGAACAAAAATATATGTATGTATTTACCAATTGTATGGGGCATGAAGTGAAGTTTACAGCCACAGTGGTTTATAACTATGGAGGTGTAACAGTCTACTTGACAATTATCTGGAGAATAATAGTCAAAATATTTTAATTTAGGTGTTTTACAACGACCATGAGGCTTGGGCAAATTGCTTACCTGAAATAAAAAGAAATGTTCATTGTTTATAAAAAAAAAAGTAAACTGGTTTAAATTAACACAGGGTAAAGTTTCATGGATACACAATTACTGACTTTAATACTAAGCGACGTTTCGACGAGGATACTCTCGTATTTACCAAGCACATGATACAGATATGTGAGTAATAGACAAATACATACAGAATATGCAACAAAAATAACAATCAAACAGAATTAAAACTAAAACACCTTTGATTAAGGGGCCATTTACATCTAAACCGACACAGCGGAAACTATTACAGGCTAAAAAAAGTGTGTGTGTGTGTGTGTGTGTTGGGGGGTCCTACTATTTATAAATATCAATGTATTAACACTATTAATGGGAAAACAATTAACCTTTGCTATAGATAAATAATAATGTAAAGAGAAAGCGTGTATGCGGAAGCGTGTATGCGGGGTGGGTGGGTGGGGGTGGGTGGTTGGTTGGTGGTATGATGAACAAGAGTGATCGCTGATCAGGGGAAACCGTAAATATATTAATTCAATAAACTGAAAATCATGTAAGATATAAAACCTATTATTAGACTATAAATCTGGACGTAGGTAAACCTAAATCAATTACGTCAATACACTGGAAATCAAGAAATGCGAAATATATTATCAGACTGTAAAACTGGATGATATGTCAAATGTATAATGAAACTATGAAACTGGATAAGCACTGGAATAGAACAAAAGTAAGTATGGGAATCAATGCATAAATTAGTCATAAGCCCCTGAACAAGTTTCAATTATGTGTCTATCCTTTCAAAACAATATCTGAAATATAGTAGTAGCATTTGTTATTCCGAATGGAAAATAGAGCCTTCGCTGAATATTTAGACGACAGACAAGTGTAAAGTATCAGAATGGTATGGTGACTGATACATTTAACACGGGGTACAAGGCAGTGAGAAAGCAAGGAGATGGAAATCTGCCAACTTGGAAAACATGAAATAATTTGGGCAATTAAACATATCTCAACAATGCATACCGAAACAAATTGTAAACCAACAAATGAGTGTAACCCAACAGATAATGCTATTCCAAGCTCATGTACTTTAGGAAACTGTTTCTGGTCATGTACCAATAGTTTGATTCCAGCACCATCATTAGGACCAGGCATATACTCATAGTCTTCTATATTTAGCGTTAATGATAAGCCATTGTCAGAACCTCATAAAAAAAGAGAGGAAAGAAAAAACAATTTATATCCGTTATAAAAAATGCAGTTTATGTAGATGGCACGATAAACTAAATACACATTTAATCAAATCTTGATGTGAATATTGAACATGTAACATATGTAAGTGCAAACAACTGAATATTTATGAGTTTTTGTATTTTACTAATCAGATTCGCATTTTCTTTTTCTTCATTTGACCATGCCTGTCACTCTGTAAATCTATTTGTCTTACCAACCGAGTCCACACTAAGTTGATTAAAATGTTGATTATTTTCACTATTAAAAGTAAAACAGACCCCTCGTTCGGATATACTCCTTGTAAAATCTGTCTCATCGCAATCACTCCCTCTCCATTTACACCTGGGAAAATAAGTTTTAGTTACATTACATTTAGTTTTATGGTTAGCTAAGAAGTTTAAATACGGACGTCAAGGCATATGCACTGTTTAAATAGGAGTTAATATTTGGTATTATGGAATGAGTAACATTATACACAATTTCAAGTAAAAATGAACCTTTTTGCAAACTATATGAACTCATAATAAATAACATTATTAGCCACATCATAGTATATTGCGTAGTTTTTATAAATTATATTATTAATGTTTTAAACAGTATACATACAACTAACATATCGATATCAGTTGTTTTATTGCGGTAGTAGTAACAATAATAATAATAATAATAATAATAGAGAGAGAGAGAGAGAGAGAGAGAGAGAGAGCGATGGGTGTTAACGTCCACTCGACACAAATTAATTCGCTTGCGTGTAGGGGTATTTAGCAGTGCGAGGAAACCGAAGGACCCGGAGAAACCCCACGAGGTTGGACAGGCGACTCTACTCCTTGTCAAGTACAACCGGGGAATCGAAACCCCCCGAGCTGACTCAATGACAGGCCTTAGAATAAAACTAAAATAAAATATACATCAACGATACTAAAGAGCACCCAAGTCAAAGTCCACAAAACTAAACATTGTAATAGCGCTTAGATTTTAAATGGTATCTGGTGTTTTGTAAAGGGTTAAAATGCACTGCCTAGTTCACGACACCATTATGTTTTGTTACAATCTCGGATGACAATTGCTGGAAATCCGACCAAAAATGTGTACTCTATCTGTGCAAGTGTCATTGGTCCGAGCTCACACTTGCACGTTTTCGCGTCTAACCATGTGCATTTTAATTGGTACTCACGACAGCCACATTTCTCAGGACAGCTGTGCGCAAGCCAATTATTGAAATACAAAACTTATTATTTAATGGATTTCTAAAGGGAAAAAGTTGCAGACGAAAATTGGTAGAATCTCTTTTGCATATTGTTATTCATTTGAGATTGAAAACCCGACTGGAGCTGACGTGCCATAAAAGTACATTTCATTTCATTTCATTTGAGATTAAAAACCTTAAAATGAAAAAGTTACGATAATTGACCACCGAAATGTATATAATAAAATGTATTCGATCTATTCCCTTTACTTTGAGGACGTACATACATTTATAAAACTGCAAATTGTAATAACAATGCAGTGACATTTATATTTCCTCAACAAATTCAACACGCTAATTGATCGGAAATTCCTATTTAAACGTTAATGATACGCGATGAAGTTAGTCATGCATTACACAAATAATGTTCGTTATTTCGTTAATTTACATCTCGCAGTATAGCAGTATAGCAGTATATATTTTTAAACAGAAAAAAACCCGAAAAAAAAACAAAACCAATTTAATACTCCAATTAGAACACGTCACTCAAGATGTAAAGGACTTGGAATTCTTTAATAAAGAAATAATATTGCACCTGTAATCGAGTAGAGACAGAGAGTTCACAATGACAATATGCTTTCTATTGAAAGAACCACAAGTAGCGAGAGTCCACTCAACACAACACAGGTCATTTCGGGAGTATTATGCGCACGTGGGTCTTTAGCGGATGGGCGAAAACTGGAGAAAATGTTATGATAAATAAATTTATTATGCATATTCCATACCTAACTATCATATCTTCGATCTTGTGAGCAGATGCTAAGAACAGATCATCCAGAAGAATATTGCTACTGTTGAATCTATCTAGGTCATCCAGTGAGAAATTGTGTATGTTGGTGTACATGTTATTAATCAGTTGGTATCTACCGTGTTCTGCTGAGGCACTTGATCTGAAACAATAAGATGATTTTACAAAAAGTAATATGAACACATCTACCCGAAGACACAAATGTTTAGATCTCGTATATATTGGTAAAAAATAAGGTCATGGAGTTCAAAACGCTACGTTTGTTTACTTAAAATATTGGGTAAGTCTACCAACGTAAATATATCTATACTGTAGAATATATAGATATATCTACTTTACAAACCCAAAGAGCACCACAAATGTATACGGACTGATACTCTTAATTTTCAACTAAACTCGGAACAGGACGGATCTCTTTAAAATTAGAGTGGTATCATCCAAACAGTTTTATCAATATGCTACCGCATACATGATTCCTAAATAAACTTTTGAACTGAAATTCTAAGATCGAATATATCAACATAATCAGCTAATGGCGTCAGGTGTCTTACACGAAATAGCGTACACTGCCTCGCTGGTGATACCGACCACACGTATAATATCATATCAGAACATAAATGCCCCGAAACTATATCTGCAATGATTGTAGATACCGACATAATATATGTCACAAAACAATGTTTAGATGTATTGAAAGCAGGCCTGGGTGGTAAAATATACCAATACATGTACTTTGCATTTTGAATCTTACCTAAAGGCGTTTTGATTACAGAATGTGACAGCCGGGAAGAGAAGAGATTTGTTATAGTTAACATGGAGATTGACTGTAACAGGAAAACTCATAAAATATAAGAGTCTGTCTACTATCTGGAAGGACATCAAACCAATACCACCCAACACCAGTAACAACCATATAATCCTGAAAATAAAAAAAAATAAAAAAGACGTTCTTGTGGTTAGCTTTAAAGGGACAATAACACTCTTGCTGGCTTGAAAGCTCCAGAAAATAAATAATATCCCTATCTAAGTACTAGATGTTTAAGTGTCCTACCTGTTGTGAAAATTATCCATTACATCCTATTTTACTTGTCCAGGGGGGTTCGAAAATATTTTTAAATCGAAGTTTCATTTGAAAAGGTTTACGTTAGACGTTTCAAACCATTATGTTGAATTTTTCAAAATTTTTAAATAAGGTGTGTTAAGATGAAATTTGTATCATCAATTAATTGAAATATTCTAAAATAGTACAATTTGTTGACCAGAATAAAGATTGGGACATATTATTCAGTTACAAAAAGAGTGGTATTGAGCCTTTAAGCAGTGAGCTTTCTTTGAAAACTGTTGATAAAAACTGTTATTTGAGAACTGGTGATAAGATAAATAACAGGAAGTTATGTACCTAGTTTAACACCCCTGTAATTAACAGAAGAAATTTAATATTAGGTAAAAAACAAGGGTAATATAAATAACCTAGATTATATGGTCGTGAAAAACCGAACAATCAAAATATAGCTTGGTTAAATTTTGCAATGAAGATAACAATGTACGAGTCGCATTGGAGACTTAATGATTTCCTGTATCATTCCAATTTATCAACTGTCCGTTCGACTGTGACATATTGTATTTTCAAAAGATAATTGAAAGGCGATATCATATTTGCTATTCGTTGGTTCGAAAACTGCATTATTGACTGGATTATAAAATACACAATCTTCAGAGTGCAGTACAATACATAATTAGAACTGATAACAGCCATTATCAGATTAGAAAATAGTTGATTATTTATTCATAAACACATACATTCATAGTGTAATTAAGCTTATATATATTCTACCGTTATAAATTGAAACTAGATAGGTCACCGTGATATCTAAAAGGCTTATGTACACAATTGTTTGACAGTGCGAAAATGGGAATACTTTTCCTTAAATACACAATCCACGAGGAATAGATTATAAACGGGGGTTATAAATATTAAATTAAAAAATATACTAAACAGCAAAAAAAAACGTCAGTACGATTTCAAAATCAGAGCGGTACTTTAATTAAATCATTCTAGAAAACGACTTACTAAATGGATCAAAGCAATTTTTTGTGAACAGTATGTTGAAACATTAGTGATTAATTCATCACAATTCCAAGACATTACGAGAAGGTTTAGAGTCTGTACACAGTCTATACACCAGTATCTGGCGTGTCCACCGCGAGTGTCAATAACAGCAGCGCAGCGTCTGTACATGAAGTGGACCAGACGATTGATGAACGCCATTGGCACCTGGAACCACACTCTCAGAAAAGCCGGACGCAATCCATCGGCTGTGTTTGGTCTCGGTACGACGTTATTTTAATAACTTAAAGTCTCCTCTGAATTTCATCCCAACGATGTTCAATCGGGTTTAAGTCCGGACTAAGGGCTGACCAGTGCATAACGTTGACACCGTTCTGCTGTAGAAAGTCCCGAGTAACTCTGGCGGTGTGGGCACGAGCGTTGTCATGCTGGAAAACGTTGATCGATGTAGCGCACTGTTGTGATGACACCTCCTCTCCCTGGACCAAGATTTTGGCACACCACAGGACCCACTCTCTGGTTCATGCCGATTACACCCCAAACCATTATGCTTGGACCTACCCATGAGTCTCGTTCCATGACACATTGGTCAGAATAACGCTGGCCACGTTGACGCTATATTCTGGTCCTGCCATCTGCAGTTGATACGCAATATCGACTCTCATCTGCGAGCCCATTGTCTGTGTCGCCAGTTCTGGTGCTGTTGGACAAACTGTAGACGTTCATGTCGATGGCGGTCTACGGCAATGGATGTTCTCTCTGGTGAGACGTCGGCGCACGGTATCGGTACTGATGGGTCTTCCGTGTGTTCCCACTGGCGTGCTGTCTCAGATGCCTGTGTGAAGAGATTCTGCACGTGCTATCGCACAACATGGCGGTCCTGTCGCCTTGTGTTAACCCTTGGTCTACCAGTTCGGTGGCGATCATGCGGCGTGTTGGTGGCCCGAAAGCGTTGCTGAAGCCTGTAGATGGTCCGAACATTGACCTGGAAGTACTGGCAACGGCTTGAACAGTGTGGCCAGCTTCGAATCTTCCAAGCGCCTGGTTCCTCTGAGCTGTCCTGAGTGGTGGCATGCTTCTGACGTTGTAGTGTGAATGGTTCAACCAGGTATGGGGGTGCATTTTATAGGGCTGGTCCCGGTGAACAGCACGTGCAGCATGAGTCACATGAAAATCATGGAGAACACATTACCATCTCAGAAGTCAGGTTGCGTTTTTGAGAACATTTCCTGGGTTCAATTCTGTGTTTGGGAAGGAGCCTTTTTGCTCAGGTAAAGTTGGAGATGTGGTCACAAATATACAATAAAAGCATTTGGCAAGTTTTATGCAATGCGTCTATTCAGAGTAACATACCAACCTGACGTTCATTTTGCTGCTTAGTATATTAAAGCCTTTTCTTTTCGGAAAAGTTAAACTTGTCAATTTCGCCAAATCCCAGAAGAATTAGAATTCAGCAAACTTGTAACGTTTGTAATACAGTACCAACGGATAGGATATCGTATTTGATTCATTTTATTCTATTTTTACATTTAATGTGTAATATTATCTATCATTCCATCTCCTATTGAAAACGGTCGAGATGTTTTGACATTAAAATTCTTATTGACCTACATAATACTATTCTGTATTCTGACATTAACGATTCTTATTAACCTACATGATAATAATCTAACATTAACCTATAAAATAATGTGTTTCACATGAATACGTAAAATTCACTTTTGAGTTATAGTTAAAACGCCACCTTCATCAAGCAAAGAGTGGCATTCACTGAGGCTATAAACCAATCAGGTTAGACTTAATTAAACTTACGCAAACCTTAGTGGCGGTTCACATAATTTCTCCCGAATGTGTTGGGTTGCCTATGTTGGAAGGTTGATAAAACCCCAAATCTAAGTCTGTATATGACACAAAAATTTGATGTTTTTGATATCTAAATCAAGTACACACTTTCCAAGGTAAGAGTAGAGAATTCGACCACAAGGATAGCATTGGTATTTAATATCTGTTAAACCCCAAAGAACTACTTAAACTTAGTAACTATATATATAACCATATGGCTAATTATAGGAACTGGTACAAACTAATTTAGTAATATCAAAGTTTAGCAGGGAATAACAATCATATAGTATGTATGAGTCACAAATACCAGTGTATCATTTAGGTGTGACAGTTATCACGGTATGTGCATGATTAATATATGTCGGCCATTGTCGGGAAGATCACATGCGGGTAGTTTGACGGTACAATATTTCTAATAAATACATTATTGGTCACAGTAAGTAGTAAGTAGCACGAAATTTTTGTCGCATAAAGACAACAGAATCATACCCTGGGTAATTTCCCGTGTACCAAAAATGAACCAGACGGATGGCAGCAAGTTTCCGAGCTTTCCAGAATGTATCATGTATAACTCAAATCTCACAGACCGCTACCCCCTGTTATTGTCATGAAATATTGTGTTAGAAGAAGAGGTAAAAAAAAGTAGGCTCCCTTGAGTAATTGAAACCCAGCACTGTGTGTAAAGGCGTCGTAGATATGATTGTCGGATTACCAAATTTTAGCATACTTTGAAGCTTGTATAGGAATGATAGATTAATAATGGTGCAAATACTAGTTAACAAGCAGCAATACCTGTTTCGCCTGTTCTCACATCGATTACACAACCTATTATATACATAATCCAACCTGTTGTGATTTCTTCTTTGGCCTTATTTGTAGACACGTTGATTGTTTTCAGCCAGGGTGTGCTCAAAATAAATACGTTTGGGGGTATTTGGAAACATATACTGAACAGCAGCCAAAAAAAAACCATCTTCGCAATGAATTAAGAGAAAAAATACGTTTACTTTGAGCTCTGAAATTAATTTTAAAATAATTCAAACGAATAAATTACAGTGGTGACGCTGGAAAGCTCACTGCAGTCGATCTCTGCGATGACGAACTAGTCGGCGGCGGACTGTGTGAGCACTGATGAATGCAAATGGTCTGTCGTGTGGTTTGTGTGGCTGCTTCAAGGCGATTTTGTAACTGCTGGCGATGGATGTGCCTATCTTGACGTTGCCAAGTACTCTTGGGCGATCACTGCGTGCTGTTATTAGGGTCGTAATGTTCCCTTAAACATTCAATAGCACGAACACTGCAATTGAAACGATTTGCAATGATTCTGGGGCGTCAAATGGCCTGTTAAAGCACGAATAAAACGTACATGACGGTTTAATTTTTCAGACATGTAAAACGATGTCCCAATTTGCCGCGAAAATCTTACATTGTAAGAAACTGCTCCCCAAACCCGTTCAATCGTAAAGTTTAAAATGTGCATGGATATCGATTTTTATGTTGACGTACCTTTTTGACATTCAAGTAAGTTTACATCAATTTTTGGTTGTATTTGAAAAAGCGACGATTTTTTTGCTGTTTAATATATTATACATTGGTGGAACAGTTGATTATTAACCTTTCCTGCAATGCGTCACATTTCAGGTATCGAATTACAGTATAGTAATATATAATGACGGAAATGTCTATTTGAAGACGAGGTGAAGGTCTTTGTTCTTTCCAATATAATTTTAGTCTATTAGCTTCCATCAAAAAAAATAAAACTAGATCCAATGTGAATTTTACTTGATAAATTAATGTCGACGGCAATTTTACCTTAATTTATTTTGGCCTTAATTGCACATGCATACTAAATTTATTATCGCTATTGATACGTTGTCTCCATGACGGTAGTTATAACAACCTCCTTTGGATTCATTGATAAAATGGTTTACAGTCAATAAGTTATGAACTGTGAAAAAGCATACCATTTATGAGCGTGTCTTTGTTTACAGTTGACTATAATTATCAAAATAACGTTGCGTTTTTGTCGGTTATCATTTTGACTGCAAGGTAATTGATTGTTGTCACATTTGCTTTTAGACTATTTCCACAGAGAACAATCACAAGAATGTTTTAGTAATGTTTATTCAATTTGACGGGCTTTCTAATAACACTAAGCATGGTAATTGGATGTCATCCATCCAAAATAAAGTGTTGAATTGACATTTGCATTAATGAAGGCATATATTGCTAGATGTTCTTTCAAAAAGGTTAAGCGGAAGTGGTTTATTTCATACCAAGCATCTATTTACTTTATGTCAAATTTCGACATGTACTTAAAGTAGCTAAGTCCCTAACCCAATATCATCCAAAGTCTTCGACATTGAAAACGCCAATTATTTATCAATTTAAATCAACATTGATGATGTTATCTTACTGGGAAAAAATGGTAGTCGTTCATATTTCTTGATAGTGTAATTGAGGCTATATACAATAATACATGTATTTTTTTGAAATGGACATGGATTGTCTTTTGCATTGAAATGATGATTCTTCCTACTGTTTTTCAATGTGTTTAAATAGTCATACCCGAATCATGCCAGTTTGTAATAGTCTGCAATTATTAACATAACGTTATGGAATTTATTTTAGTTATGATCCAATCTTTCTATTATATTGAAAGGAAGACCCTTATTGATTGTCAAGGATTTTCAATAATAACTTCTAAGGGTATTCTCCTTTGTTATAAAATCTCGTTAGCGCCGTAGAGACTTTAATTGTGATCCTATCTGGAATTAATATTTGGTATTTTATCTTATTGCAAAGAAGAACTCTATTCATTTCAAGGGGACAATAATCATTAGAACAAAACATAAATCAGAAAAACATGAAAATAAGTCAATCACAATTTGATGAAAAAGTGCAACGAAAGTTTGTTATCTATGTGAACACCCAAGACGTCTTAAATGAGGACCAGAAAGATGTAAGTCGAATAATTCAAACTCCTCCATCAGTCGTAAGCTACAAGCACGCGGTGATCGCCTTCCTGCGAACAAAAATCGTATGCGCGTGCTGTAACTTATGACGGATGTTGCTAACTTAAGTAAACTGGTCTTCTTAATATTATTTGGCCATAAAAATTATACGATGAAATTTAGAGGAAAAACAAGGTAGTTACTGAATTTTACTGTTTACCCCTATAGATGTATAGGCCTTGGAGAGAGTGATCTCAAATTGAAGCTTTGTTCTTTGCTTGGTTCAAATAGTATCCACAACGACGGCCCACCCCCTTATCCTATAAGACAAATAAGCAAACAAAACTCCGAAGCATTTTCAGTTTGAACACAATAGCGAACACTGATTTAGAAGAAAATCTATTACCTTCTTAGCGTGAATGTCTCATAATCCCAGATGTACCGCAATCCATGTAACGAAGTCGATTGTGTAAATTCCATCCATGTTGCATTTGTAAATTTCGAACATTGTGCTGTATGAGTTACGAAATGTCTCGTTGTTTTCGGCTCTGAATTGGTAGAAAAACAAACAGCGTTTGGTTGGCGGTGCTTGATAAAACCACGGGCATTTAGTTCTAACGCTGACGCAGACATTTTGACGTTAATAGAATTAACTAAATAAAATGTTGCACTCAGCTCATTCAACTGGTAACATAATCTGACATCGTGATATTGACGGAAGTAGGATCAACTAAATGGAATATTACAATGCAATCAATCAACCTGTAATATAATCCATTTTGACACAATTCATACAGACATACAGCACACGAAACCGTCTGTACCGTAGCAGTTCAGTGGCTACATGCTTATTCTATATATCACCACCATACTATCTCACTAGAAAGGGTTGGTATTAAATACCTCAACATACGCAGTGATGTAGGTCTATCCATACTAGTATTGATAAATATCGTGAATTTACAGTTCAAATGTTATGTAGCACGCCCTGTCTGATTCCTGAGTCCCCAGGCATTGATTCTTTCTGACAGTATTGCTAATTTTCGTTATTAAATTAATCATAAATATGATCAACAATTATGCGAGGCCTGGTCGTTGTACTAGTATATCAAACTATATGTATGAAACGAAAACCAACTAGTAACTTGTACTAGGCGTATCACAAAATCCTAATGATATAGTTTAAATTTAACCCGTATATCAGTCTATATGTATAGACAACGAAAGGCCACATATGTATAATATCGTACTTGATAGACCTGGGGTATTACACAATTGTAAAGGTATCCTCTGTTAGTTTCAAACTATCCTCGCCCCTCTATTAAATACAGCCAAAGTTTAACGTCTCATTATATATGACAAAATCCCAAAAATAAAACATTTACGTGTAATAATCAAGATATCAAATGGCACCAAATCGAAAGCGTTTAGTACTTACTATGTTCGGATCAAATGAAAGAGTGCGATTTATATAAGTCCGTGGAGTACCTATGTGCGCGAATCTGTTTTTCTTGAGATACAAAAGGTTAACGTGGCTATTTATATACAACTTGGTACGGTAAAACCATTCTGTTATGATAATATTATATCTCCTTAAAGAAACAAAAAGGCAGATTTAAGCAACAACAAGCTAGATGAAATGTCAAATACTAAATTATTATACATAACCAAACAAATTTTAACCAAATATATATATATATATATTGTCCGAATAATTATGTAATTATAATGTATGGCCATTTGAAGGTTTCTATTGATTGTACACTCCACTGGAATAATGAAAGTAAAATAATTTTACGGTCAATGTAGATTTAGTGTATCCATTGTGTGCTTAATTAGACCAATAACAGAAACATTAAAATGTTACGTCTTTTATACATTTGTACATCTTGACATTTTCACCAGTTTGTATAGAATAACGTTCGGGTTGACAATACAGTTGAATTGGGGGTGTCCTAATTAAAATTCATTCACAGTAGAGATAAATCTGTTAATCCATATTGCTGAAGTAATAATGTGCCCTTCAGGCTAACTGTGTCATGACATAGCATGTTAATACATCAAGTGGGTTGTTTCAGATCTAACATTTTCCCAGGTATAAATACTAAAAAGATTTCATAGTATCCACTAGGGGATCTGAATCAAATCAGGTTTCACGTCTCTTTAATAATTAATCAATGTCATTTTGAAACTAACATATGTCTGATTTTCTATGGTAATTACTTGTGCAATTGGAAGATACTCCTGTTCGAATCCCAATTTTCGAGGGATCGTTGACATGCAGTTCAAGGTGCATGCGGCTAGTCATCGGTTCTGGTCCATCCAAATTAATAAATATACTCCCCTTGTGAGCGGCCGAAGCGTTACTCCAGACGATCGGAACCGGCTAGTAAAATCTACGGGGCCAGTTTTCGGACGGCTGATTTGCACTATTAATAGATGACATACTTAGTCCCGTTTCGCACTACAAAATGTGTATGAATACTTAGTATTCATAGCTATAGAAGGTTTATGATTTGTCTGTAAACGTCATTATAAGCACGGACAACTGATGATAATACCATTCACCATTACTATTGGGAATCGGCGTGAAGGAGATTAGGTTAATATGGAATACTGAATCGAATTGTTCTGATGGTTGCATCATGCCGTGGGAGGGTATGCTATTTACAGTAGAATCTGCATTAAGCAGCCACCCAAGGGAATTTTCACAACTGACCGCTTAACGGGAGTGGCCTCTTAATAAAATCTCGTTGCTTTTTGTGCCGACATAAATTAAATATTACGCTTGGATGCATTGGAAGCGGTAAATTTGGCCTATTGATATATGTATTTTCCATTCAATGCAATGTTAATGACCGATAATGAACATTTATTTTTCTTTATACCGAGAAGTGTACTTGTATACATGTACTTGGAAGTCGTCGATATATAAAGACGGTTTCTGAAATTGAAAGGTGTATTATGTTTTGAAATATAATCGTTGGGATTAGGAAATCTGTAAGAGAGAGAGATGCAGACAGACAGTCAGAGGGCGGTGTAAAAAATTTTTGGGTATGCCCAACTATACTGATTTAATATACAGAAGCGAGAGTACGTCATATATATTAAAGACAAGGCAGGTGGGTGGCGCTAGAAAAGTTTAGATTCGGTGTTTTGCAATCTTGCTATTAAAATACTAATGGATACTCTTCACAAAAAAAAGAAAAAAAAAAGAAACGCACAGTGACATTTCGTCGTCTGTATACCCTCGCTTGTCACTGAACCAAACTGTTCTCCAGCGTTGCTGTAGCCATACCCTATGTGTCTGAACCCATCGAAGTCGGATTTGACAGTGTCGGCATATTTCAAAACAGCTTTAATGGGACACCTGACTCGTGATCCGGCTTCAAGTAGGCGGTTACGGACTGACTGATCTAGGATCCTACGCCGTCCAGGAATTGCTGCTGCAGTAGATGTCGCTGTTGTGAACAGTTCCCGCAAATGACGTAACCGGATGTGAAGATCCTGGGGAGGTGTGGTCACTCTTGTTCGGCCTGAGCGTGGCGGTCACGTGTTGAACCTTGTCGGTACCTATCCCAAAGGCGACAGATGGTACTCTGGGAAACATTCAGCTGCCTGGCTATATCTCAGATTCACCTACTTGTAATAAAAATAAAATAAAACCAAGTACGAACAATCCAAACCATAAGACAAAATTCGAAGTCCTAAAAAACGGTATAGGCAAAATAGTGTAATAAGGCAAAATAGTGTAATCAGCATATGGACTGTTCACCGTGTACAAAATACACGACAAACAGTGGTAACAGGTGTCCGGAAGAGTAAGCTTACCCTGCCTGGCGCCACACCCGCCATAGCTGCATCCAAACTATTAGGCGAAATCTTGGTAAAATAGCGTGATTGGCCAATGGACTATCAATGACAGCCTACACAGGTTGTGTTCCCAAAACAAACGGTATAGGCAAAATAGTGTAATCAGCAAATGGACTGCTCACCGTGTACAAAATACACGACAAACAGTGGTAACAGGTGTCTTGAAGAGTAAGCTTACCCTGCCTGGCGCCACACCCGCCATAGCTGCATCCAAACTATTAGGCGAAATCTCGGTAAAATAGCGTGATTGGCCAATGAACTATCGGTATGCAAAATGCACGTGATGAACAGTGTTAACGATGTAGTAGACAGACATTATCAGGGAGATAGTATACGCGTCAATTAAATATATCTAGAATAATAGCCGAGAGAGACATGTTATATTTACCAATCAAGTCAATATGACGGCCATAAAACTTTTTAAAGGTTTTAATAAGTTTAGTTCGCAAGTATCCCTGTAGTTGAAGCTTAGATGAGAAATGTCTCGATCTACTTAAAAAATCAGAATAAAATGAACAAGCTCTCGCGTAAGCGACCGATAGAATTGTTGCGTTGGCTCGTTGAGTGTCTACAATTGCAACTGATTATGAAACAGAGAACACCCGGATTTTTAAGGTCATAGATTTTGGTTTCACAGGAAAGGTTTGCAAAGTTGTTAAACTCATGTGTCCCGGTGCAATCAAGTAAAGACAAATTTCGGAAAAAAGTATGAACAGTAACAATTAGTGACCCTACATTTAAAACCAATAATGAATTTCTTTTATCCTTACATAATGACATTAAATACAAGTGAGATTGATGGAAACGACAATCCCGTTCAAATAAAAAAAAATGATGAAAAATAGGCTATGCGTTTCTTTTTTTGAAGAGAATATTATTAGAAACGATACAAGGTCACCCCTACATAGATGAATCATCACGTGTGAAGCACAAAGTTAATAGATCGGTGAAATCATAAAAAAAGATAACATGTGAAGAAATTGAAATAAAATATCTCCCGGAAAAAATTATTGGCATACAAAGCTTGCACTTGATATCAAAGTTGGCAAATGAACAATCAGTGGAAATGTATCCAGTTGCGAGATGAGAATTACGAAATAAAATGATTAATGATCTACTTTTCTGAATCAACCAAATATGTATTACAAAACAATGGGAGAAGTCGTGCGTAATGTGTAATGCTAGGCTCCCACTATAACGATTCGCGCTACGATTGAAATCGTGGTGATCCTATCATATATTAAAGTCAGTCGTAGCAATCGTTTTGATCGTATCGAAACGTACCCGAACGTGGACTCAATAGGGACAATCCTATTATAACGTATCGCACGACTGTGGGAACCCAGCACAAGAGAAGATGCACACACAGAGAATAAAGTGTAGTAACACCTGAATATCTATGCGCTCAAAAGACATTTATTACCCAAATAAATATAGGCGAAAGTACATAACTTTGAAAACTGCCACTGACCTACGGCTCAAGAAAAGTATGACCCCCTTGTGTCGTGGAAAGCATGATTGGAAACCAAACCCGCCATTGCATTGAGAAAAGTTTTAAAATCGCTGTGTTCACAAACAACTCATGATGGGAAGTTATTGCCTGACATTTCAATGAGACAGATTGCACGGCAGTTTGATCACTATCCCTCGCCTATTTGTAGATTATTGCGAAAATCGTCAACGTTCTGATAGAACACACGGATTCATGACAGAGCATGGTGCCGATCACGTCATCATTGGGTCATGGCGAAAAATTCACTTGTCGGATGAGAGTTGCGTTCTACTGTCCGTGACAGATGGCAAAACACGGGTCTAGCGAAGTAGGAATATGTCATATGCACAGAGGAGCTTCCATGAGCATGTTTCATTCGGCATCGGCGCTATCATGATATAGGATTGTCTTTCATTTTCATGTGCAAGCACCCACTGGTTGCAGTTAGGCGAAATCTTAATGGCCAACGGTACCAAGGTGATATCCTGGACAGGGTTGTAGTGCCCCACGTTGACAATCATACCCGCCTCACAATGCCAATCTCTATGGCCGGCAACGCCAGACCACACCGTGCGCCTGACGTTGATTTTTTGCGGCACGAGGCCAACCAGAAGCCCTGACCTGAA